AAAATTGGTAAGCTGAGGGGGGGTCATGCGATTTTTAAATGGTGCTTCCCAAATCCCACCAGCCCCCCCTCCCTCATAAAAAATGAACGGTCCCTTACCCTATCCAAACTTACGTGTTACCCTATCCAAACTTACGTATTACCCTATCCAAACTTGCGTATTACCCTGTCCCAACTTACGTATTACCCTATCCAAACTTACGTACTTTCCTATCCAAACGGCTACCAGTACACAAAACTAGACCTCAAGCATTAAATCGAGCAATGCGAGCAAAGCTAGAGTCACAAGACCGAGCTGAACAGGGAGACAAAACAAAGATTTTGCACATCGAATTCTTAAGATGAGGTCGTGGCGTGTTCGATTTTCCAAAAATGTTTCTGCAAGGTTGAGTTAACACTCCCTGGTAGATATATTTTAGAACACGCAAATTTATTTACTCTTGAAGTGGGTAGCATGCTTCATAGCACATCCGCTTCTCTCAAGTTTATACCGTTTGTAATCCGTCTTGATCTTTCTTAGTCGTAATCATCTTTGTGTTTTTTTTCGGTTAACTATTTCAGTCGTACATGTACCTCTTCAATATGGACACCAAATTCTCTTAGCTGTGTGTCTGTATAATAAAGGTGTCTATCTTATGTCTGTATGATGAAGGTAGCTATCTTGTAGAGGAAGAGACTATAGGAATATACTACTTACTCTTGCACCAGATGAATTGTCCGTAATATAGAGGTTTAGCTGTATAGAGAGGTTTGGCTGATCTTCTTTCGTGTTTTTCTACGTTCTTTTTACATCTACATGCTGTTATGTTAAGTTGTCCTCAGCCGGTCCAGGTTCTCGCATTGTGGTCGAGAGAGGGGGTGGCGGGGGACGGTGGGGGGTGGTTAGTGAAAAGCGAACGAAGCGAGTGCAAGAATGAGGGGACATCGGGAAAAACGCCCTTTTCGCACCAAAACCCTCGCCTTTTTTGCACTCGTTCTTCCTGCCGGCTCCCAGTGTCCTTAAGTTTGTTCGTGATATAGCTCTTTAAGAAGCGATTATCTCAAACGCACGTATTGGTTGCGTATCTCATTTGTTGCTTCTTTGTTAGGATCGTCCAAATTCCACTCAGCGGTCGAAGTTATCAGCAAAAAAGTCTGGAAGAGGTCTGTAGTAATGTTCATTGGAAAAATGTATTGTCTACTTAGTATGACTTAGTTCAGAGGTAATCAGTTCCGGCAGAAAAACGCCGTTTCCAGTAAGGTAGAGCAAAAGTCAGTCTTACTCTTAGTTAAGGATTAATTTTCCTATTCTACTTCAAGAGGAAGAATTTTAATGGCCACCGACATAGCATTAAATTTTTCTTGAAGTCTCCCAACCAGAAAAAGTGTCAGTTTTAATACAAGTGTATCAAAATGAAATATAAGCGTTTGACAACAACAAAACCAAAACAAAACCAAAATGAAAGATGTCTTGAGAAGTCAATGGGCCTTTTGCATGAGCTGCCCATATTTTACAAACTCCGTCATGCCAGATGACAAAAGAATATAACAGCCTTCAAGACAAACCGAGTTCAACCAGTGAAGCTTGAGTTTTCTTTGCTTTTGATGTGCCTTTCCCTCTCATTCTCGCTAGTGTGGGTCGATGCAATTCCCGCACGCTACTCACGGCCACTCCTCTTTCTAGGTACCAGTACACCTTCCTCTCAGTCTAAATCAGCCCTCAGTGAAACTGCAGCAGAGAGGACTGGGGTAAGATCATGTTCATTTTTACCAAATATACTGAAAGTTGCAGAATGCTAGAACGTATTATTTTTACAATATCTTGCGATCGCACCACCTTAGTTCTGCAAGTGACGATGTGGTGAGCTTAGAAACATGCACGTTCTCAACCTATTTGCTAGCACTTAATATCTGTAAATAGTTTGTCACATCAAATGCAAGCCAAGGTAGAGAGCACAGCAAAACCTTCTTAAAGCGACTAATTCTGAGATTTATGAAGTTTACTTCCCATAATCATTTGGCGTTATTCCCTTACCATGTCGTATCTGGAATCTTGTTAGCGTTTCGGGCCGGGCAAATTAAGAGGTGATCGGTAGGTACAAAAGCGTCCTTGTTTCCTTAAATAATTTTTGTTTTCTTCTGTAATCTTTTTCAGACTCCGGTTAGTGTAGATGGTTTAGCAGTGGATAATGCTGCTGACCCTGTTTTAGAAGCAAAATACAGAGACAAGCTCTTTACGCAGGTATGAAGCTTTCTTGATATGGACAAATGAGTGAATGAAAAGTGTCAGCAGTTCCTTGGTTTTCCT